TGGCTTGAAATAGTTAATGGAAAAGTAATATAGAAAAATAAGGAGTATAATGCCACATTGGGTGACTAGTAATAGTAACACAAATGTAATTAGAAACTGTACATCAATTGTTCTGTAAAAAGACGTTTATCATAACTAATAAAGTTTCTATATTGGCAATATAAAAAAAAAAAAAAAAAAAAAAAAAGGAAAAGAATTTACACAAATGTCTTTACCAAACTCATTTTGGCCTTTTAAATCTATTTTAAATCTTTCATAATTGTCTTTTTTATACTCTATAATCCAAGTGCATTACTCACTAGGTTATGGGACTCTAACCCCAATTCTTTTCCTTTTATCCTGGTATTTTTGAATATAAAGTGCTAAATAATGAATAAAAAAATTAACCAATAAGTATTACTATTATGACTAAATGTTAAATTTATTTAAATAAATCTATCAATAATAACAACTATCTATTTAAAATTATACAAATCTTTTGGTCTTTGTTTTTGGTTCTTGTATTCCTTCTAAAATTATTGTATAGAGAACTGAAATCAAAGACCCAACATCCTTTGCAATAACATCATCTAAAATATCTTTATTACTTAGATTAATAGTTAGCAGAGTGTGTTTAATACTTATTTGGTTGTCAGCAGTTACCATAGTAAAAAACCATTTCTCTCTGGCAATAACAACTCCATATACCTGATCAAGCTTTTTATTGTTGTACTATAATATTTTAAAATAAAAATAATAGAATTAATATAATAATTTGATATCTAGTAACTTTAAATTATTTTCTAGTAGCTTTTTATAAAGTATATAAAATTTTTGAATTTTATCATATTCAAGCCAATCATAAAAATTAATATTATTTATTTAGTATAATTAATATCTACTCATTGCTATATTTATATGCAATAAAGTATTATTATAATCAAAATGACTAAAATACTAATTATATACATACTTTCAATAATATTATATCAATATTTTGAAAATAAAGTAAAAAATTTATAAATTTTATTTAAATATATATAAAGAATATATCTTATCTCACAGGCAGCTTGGAGCTGCACAAAATTTTGGCAAAGGCCATGTTCAATGTTTTGTGTCTTTGCTTCAATGGTACAAAGAATATATCCATCTAATAGTTAAGCCTACCTTTGCCATTAAAACTGAATAGATTATACTCTTTGTGCATAAACACATTGCTAAATGTAAATAGAGTGCCAATTAGAATGGTGAATACAAACTTAGCCTTTTTAGCTTCTATTGTGCAACTATTAATAGCACCTAAAACATTAAAGCATTTCTTTTTTTTAAAAAAAAATAGCAAAATTAGTATTCAAAAATAAAAAACTAATTAGAAATAGATTTAGTTAAAAATGATCAAAATTATTCATAGCCAATTAGCTAAATACCAAGATAATTTTTTATCTTTGAGCTTTTAATTAAAGTTGTTAAAGATTAAATTCCAGCTATACCATTTTATAAGTAAAAAAGTAATACTTCTACTAGAACTAGAATATCAAAATTTGTAACACTATAACTAGTAATTGACCATTAGTTACAATTTTCAAAATTCTGAATTCTAATAAAGAAATTATTCTTTTTACTTATAAGATAGTATAACCAGAATTTAATTCTGAACAACTTTAATTAAAAGCTTAAAGGTAAAAAATTATCTTAGTATTTAGCAAATTGTTAACCAAATACATCTTTAGTTAGTAATATCTACATAAAAATATATAATACCTTTATATTTTTAACTATATCATCAATATCTGCCTTGTAAATGCTAAAATTTTTATTTGTCTCTAGAAAAGTTATTTGAAACTTTGCTTCAATTTTAAACACCTTAGATAGTTGTTTAAATATCTTATATGACAAAAAGACTATAATTTATATAATATATTAATAAATATATTATTCTAAAATAGCAAGCAATTCACAAATTTTTAATTCTGTTACTTTGTTTAGTAAATATTCTACTTGATTACTAGAGAAAACCTAATTGCTAGAAGAAGCCTGGTTATTGGAAAAAGCCTAATTGCTCTTGGATATAATTAAAATTCTAATTATCCAGAATAGTAAGAACTTACAATAGAGATACAAATATTAAAAATTCTACTTATGTAATATCAATCCAGTTAATATTTAAAATATATATTAAAAATATATAAATGGATCTGATAAAAACTCTGTAAAAAATTATCATATCTTTATAGCTTAAGATATTAACAG